TGCTCATTATGTCTACAGGCTTCCTGCCTTGCAGTACTACACAACTTCTATACACTGCATGGTGACATTCATTTCGAAAACACAAGCTCAGTACGTACCAAGAGACGAAGGCAAAAAAACTAAACATTGTATTGCATTGGCTGCCTTAACACAACACACATTACTGTGCGAAATACCACACGATAATTAGTCTTTTGAATCAGCCATGTTGCCTGCTGCAACAAGACAAAAGGTAAGAAATATCTTTTTTTTTATTATTTTTCGGGGCATGCTGTGTGAACAGATACACATTACAAACATATAAAAAAGTTTTCTCAAATTTGACTAAAAAAGTGGAAATACAGTTTAAGGCTGGCTCTACACATATGTGTGTCAGTCGGCCCGCTGTTCTGTGCTGAGCGTGTGCTCACAAGACAGTGACCAAGCTGCCACTGATAGCTCCCAGTCACTGGTTAGAATCGGAAGCCAGTGGGATATGGGCTCCTGATCATGTGACTGCTGTGACAGCCAATTACAGCAATCATATAATTGGGAAGCCCATCTTCGACTTCCGGTGTTATTATCCCCTAAAGGGCCACTGGGAGTAGGTGGCAAGGAGTTAAAGCGACAAAACAAATGTGCTGAAAAAAAGTACCTGCAAAGAGCAAGTGAATGATTTCCTCTTCTGATGTCTGCACCAGCAAACATGGCTTTCATGAATTTGGAAAAGAGCTATATTTTTGGTGTTAGCTGAGTAACTGCCAACATGACAGATATACTGTACAGGTATTATTGGGAATACTAAATGTTCTGTTTCAGCTTATGACTAGATCGCACATACTACATTTATGACTTTTTGCCAAATAGTATTGTTTCCCAGCTGTTCTAGCACGGAAATAAATGGAAGCAGTCGAGTGCCAATGCCTCCCTTTAAAGCATACTCATGTGTCACTGTAGTATGTCTGAACTCCCACCGTGCTTAGCACAGCCATTGCAGGCCGATGAGAGCAATCCTTCTTCTGACAAATAGCTCAGACACTTACTGCAACATTACCTTGCTCTGAGCATTTTGTTTCTCAATTTGTTATCTAGACAATCCTCAATGAACGATAATAGGAAGCGTGCAAATGGCTAACCAACAATAAGCTACTTTGTCTGGTATCTTTGTTATTAGTCACTCATTGGGGGTGATTTACTAAAGGAGTAAATCTTTCACTTTGCCAAGTCAACCTAAAAAAATAGAGATTTCAATTAAATATGCATGGATGAAGCAAATTCAGGTTCACTGAGCCAAGTGAAAAAAATACTCTTTTAGTCAATCAAAAATTTCCAACATATTCCTTTTTTAATTTTGATGTGAGACAAAGTAAATTGTATTTGCTTTGTCTCACATCAAGGAAATCAACCACACTCTGTTGATCTTCACCGAACATAAACGTTTATTCTTTAATCACAGTCACACTGTTATCCCTGCCCTGAACTGCCCACCTTCAGCGTTTTTCACTTTTTCGGGCTTAATCATAATCGTATTTGCCTTGTGTTTGGGTCAAAAAGTGGAACAACCAGACAGGCTATGCTGAGAAATCTGAAGTATTACTATGCCAAGGAAGGGTTCACTTTTAGTATATTCTGCACCCGGGGAACTATGTGAAATGCCAAATTAAACCAAACACACAAAAAAATATAATTAATACACATATACACATATATATATATATATATATGTAAATATACATACATACATACAGACAGCATATACGCACACACACATTCACAAATAAAGCTGCAAACATATGTAAAACATCTGTCTGCATTAATTCAGGCATACTGTAAAAAGATAAAGACAACTCTAAAAGGGTAATAATGATGGGCAAAGTGCAGTTATCCCCTATAAGCAAATTGATTTCAGATTCCTGTTACAGAAAGATTTCTAATTGCGAAAAGTCACCAATCTTACACATAACAAAATCGCATACCCACCTTTTCAATATTGATTTGCAACCATATTCATTTTTAACAGATATACTTTTACCAACTCAAAAGTAAAATAAATAGGCACTACAAATTCACTGAACTGTCTGCCAAACTGTACATATCTTAAAAGTTAGATGGAAAAAGGTTTTATAAGCTCAGGCTGGAAACAACACAATAGCCAGCCAATGCGTTTAAAAAAGTGCTCTTAATAGAAACTCAAGGTCTCGGGCTCCCTAAAAGTGCTTGTTGTTTCCTGGATCAGACAGACTGGCTCCTTAATTATATATTAATGTATTCACCACTGCATTAACCTGTATAGGTTACTTAAAACTTTCTAAAAATACTCAATCTTGTTTGAGTTTGGTGAATACAAAAAAACAACCCCCGACCAGGTACAGAAATAGTATTCTACAATAAATGCCATTTCTAAAAACAGCGCATTTGCAATTTTTCTCCATGCTCACATAAGCCCGACACCCGTAAAGATTAACATTCCCTTGAATCTCAGGCGGCCTTCCAGTACATAATCAAACAAAAGTGTTAACAGACAATACAAAATTTTGCCACCTCATAATAAAGCATTTCTGCCAATGATTACTAAAATAAATTGTCATCACTGTTTAGGTTATATACTAAAGTAGATGGCAACAAAGATCACCCCAGATGCACTGAGAGTTTAAAAGCATTCAACTGTCAAGTGGATCACACAGAAAACTGATGAGCTATGAACATAAGATGTTACAGATTTAAACATCAATTATAATCAAGTAAATCATAAAAGACATCTACCACAGTTAGTATGCACAAAATATGTGATGGATTAAGTGTCCAACATTCAGGTGGACTGTTTCTAAAAGGGAGGCATGGGATGATAATACTCAGTGATGCTGAAGCTGTAGCACTACACATAGGACCTGCTATTATATTAATACCTGTATCATCCTGTAATGACAACCAGGGCCTTTATCTTTGTAATCAGTACTTTAATTGCTATGTGCATGTCCCCATTATTATCATATACCTGCTGTTTCCCACTATGCCAGTACTACTATGACATTATTATCATAAACCTCCTATTCCCAATTATGCCAGTATTATGCCTCATTAATATCATATACCTCCTGTTTTCTTCTATGCCAGTACTATGTGTGTTTTTTTTTCAACCTGACTAACTATGTAACTATGCCCATTATTATGATACACCTCATGCTTCCAACTATGCCAGTACAATGCCCCATCATAAACCTCCTGTTCCTAACAATGCCAGTATTATGCCCCATTGTTATCATGAACCTCATGTTCGCAGCTATGCCAGTACTATGCCCCATTATTATCATAAACCTCATTGTTTCAACTATGCCGGTACTATGCCCCTTTATTATTATATACCTCATGTTCCCAAATATGCCAGTACTATGCCCCATTAAACATCTCCTGTTCCCAGCTATGCCAGTATTATGCCCCATTATTATCACACACCTCCTGCTCCCAACTATGCCACTATTATGCCCATTATTTTCATACACCTCATGTTCCCAACTATGCCAGTAGTATGCCCCATTATTATCACACACCTCCTGTTCCCAACTATGCCACTAGTATGCTCATTATTTTCATACACCTCATGTTCCCAACTATGCCAGTAGTATGCCCCATTATTATCATACACCTCTTGCTGCCAGCTATGTCAGTACTATGCCCCATTATTATCACACACCTCCTGCTCCCAACTATGCCACTATTATGCCCATTATTTTCATACACCTCATGTTCCCAACTATGCCAGTAGTATGCCCCATTATTATCATACACCTCCTTCTGCCAGCTATGCCAGTCCCATGCCCCATTATTATAATTCGCCTCCTGCTGCCAACTATGCCAGTTCTGGTTCTGAGAGTCCTAACAGGTCCTGTTTTTCACCATCCCATTGAAAACACAGTTTTGTTAATAAGCAGCATAGTGGACAAGAGAACACTAATAACTTCACCGGTGATGTGAAGCAATCTAGAAAATGTGTCATGTTATCAGTAATTAGGGGTAGGTTTGAGAAAACGCAACATACCAGCAAAATAACATAAACATGTAATCGGTTATATTTACAATTATTGCAATGCCATTTATGTTCCAAATTCTATAACATACCAGTTCTAAAAAGAACATACCGGCAAAATGTAATCTATCATAATAATTACAATTGTTGCAATGCTGTTTATGTTCCAGTATTAATAACATACCAGTTCTAATAAGTACATAGAATCAAAGAAAACAAAGAATCAAAGAAAACATGAAAATGTATTCTGCTATATTATTTACAAATATGTCAATGCCACTTGGGTTCCAATAATAATGACATACCAGCAAAATAACATAAACATGTATACTGTTGTATTTAAAATATTTGTTTTATATTTTATAAATATTATATTTGTTGCAATGCCACTTGTGTTTATTATTATTATTATTAATAATAATTATAATAATAAACCAGTTCTAATAAGAAATTACCAGCAAAAAAAACAGGAAAATGTAATTTCCTATATTAATTACAATTGTTGCAATGCCACCTATGTTCCAATAATAATCACAGCAAATCAAATAAGTAGAACCCCCCCCACATAAAAGTAAACATTTCATAAAATTGATAAATCTTAATTTTAGAAAACCTAATGAGCCCAGGCTGCAGAGGAGCCAAGTTTCAAATACAGCCAAAAATGAGAGCTAGTGCCCAACTTTATGTCTCTATTGTTGTCAACAGAAGCACATGTCACTTGGCTCCTTGAAGGTTCCATCTGGCTCCTAGATTGGACTGATAGTTGATGAATTATTCATTCATTTACCCACCCATGACAAGCACATATACACATTGCTAAATCAGTGCTATGTTAGCTACACAATGAAATGATGAAATATAACCAGGCACTTAGGGATCCTTAGGATCAATGGTGAAGCAAGGCTGTTGGCTGCGATTGGTCCCCAGCCATCCCCAGTGCATCCTGTTACAGTGTCATCCCCATCCCTTGCCGGCTACATGAAAAGGCCTCCCTTACCTGGGTGTAACATACTTTGGAAATAGAAGATGACCAGGACGAAAGATCCTAAGCAAGTGACCAGCACCATCCTGCAGATCCGATTCATCCTCATGACCTCCATGAGAGCTTGCTTCATACCGCTGCTTGGGAGGATGGATGCAGCCTGGCTGTGCTGCTTCTGTACTGCTTCCGTACAGGGTGTGGATGGCGCACTGTGCTGCTGCTCCTTAAACTTGTCCTGCTCTATGTGGCTCGCTTCTTCTCACTCTGTGCATTGACTGGCACACGCTGTGCTTCTTCTTATGCCTGGCTACGAGGAACCATTGCAATGTCGCTTTGTATATGCTGGATTTACATGACTCTAGGCTGACACTATATACAGAGGTATGGTTTGTATAGTGACCCCTCTGTGTGTGTGAGTGAGTGAGCCTGATGGAGTGTCTGCGTGCAGATAACGTGATGATGCTCCTGTGCGGTCCTGTGGATGGCGTGAGATGATGCTCTTGTCCGGTGTGTTCGGTTTGGGGAAGCTATATATCTAGCAATGTCTAGGGAGCCGGGCAGGAGGATGCTGATGACAGTGGTGATGTGGATGAGAGCAGCTGCCTGCCTTGTCTACACACTGCTCAGAGGCTCAGCTCAGCTGCTCTGACAGCGAGCGATAGGAGAGCGGAGCCTGACGCCGGGCAGCAGCACATCTCGCCCCGCCCTCTTTTGTTTATCGGCTACAAAGAGTCAATGCAGCTTCCACACTGCCACCTGCCGTCCGCCGGCTGTAATGACATCCCCCTGGTGTCTGGAGTGTGCAGAGCGCTGGTTCCCAATGGAAAGCAGCACTGAGGGGAGAAGAAAGGTAAGAACACAGCCACGCTGTGCCCATAGAACTAAGTACAGAGAACTATGGCCAAAACTTCTTTGGGGATAGTTCTCTTTTGGATCACAGGAGGACATTTAGTAATATCCTCCTGTAACCCAAAACTCAACGTGTAGTGGGCTGACAGAGCAGGGCAGCGCTGCAGCTGGGAAGGATCCTGAGGATATAGTCAGGATTAGGCTGACCATATTTCCTTGAGCCACAAACGGGACATCGGGATGACAAAAACAGGACGGTTTTAATATTCTGTATCCATGAAAAAGTAAGATGATAACAAAAGTCTTATGACAATATAGTGGATGTGTACAGCATAAAGTTTTGGACAAAATTAATTATTTTGCTGTTTCAGATTCGGAGGCAAAGAGCCTCTGAATCCGAAATTACACATTGAAGAAAAAAGAAAAGGTGTGTCGGCCATATTGACCGGTGGCGCATCCTTATGCACACATGCACGCATAGATACAATGGGTCCCGCCATCATGGTGCACCCAAGAGGCTGGTGTGTCTTCTTACGTGACGTCAGATGCACCAAGATGGCGGCGCCTATACAAAAAATTACTATATGCCTGAATAAATAGTAATTTGTATATTCGGTTTTATAGTAATTTGGATTGACAGAAATTCATTGATTTGGCAGATCGTCCAGATCCAAATGCACATCTCAACATTCAACAATTATTCTTCAGCGAGAGAACTCATACAATGCAGTGCATTCTTTCTGCACCTTTCCCCCTTCCTATACTTGCTCATATCCTTCCATTGTGTCAGTTTGAGGAGCAGAGAACTATGCCATGAACCTAAGATTTCTTGGAGCACTGCCTTGCTGAGATAAAAGCTCTGCTGTCGATCATATAAAATGGCTGCCTAAAGTCCACGCCAACGCTTTCTTTTCCTTCGCAGCAGCACTGACTGGGAGGAAGTTACGCCTATACGTAACTTCCTCCCAGTCAGTGCTGCCGCAAAGGAAGAATGAGCGCTGGCGGAAACTTCTTAGTAGTGCGCTCTGTGCACCTTCTTTATGAGACAAGCTGGCCGAACGGATGCAGAAGTTAAAGCCTGGCCACAGTTGTGGTTGTCTTAACATTTATATCAATGCGGCCAGCTGGTCTCATTAAGGAGACACACAGACTCAAAGCGCACTCCTAAAAAGTAAAACGGCAAAATTGATTTTTTTAAAGAAACGACGGGGCATGGGAAAAATTAAGAAATAACGGTACTGTCCCGTTTAAAAGAGGACATATGGTCAGCCTAGTCAGGAGTCACCCCGCTGCCTGATTGACAGCTGGCTCTGTCTCTCTAGAGTCAAAGTCAGCTGCGCCCACCTCCTCCCCTGTCTGTTCCTCTAATGAGTGCTGAAGGAACAGGGAGGGGTGGGTGTGAATCCCTGCAGGGAGCGTTAACTGACAGTCATCATTCTCTGCAGGGAGAAGAACAGAAACCAAGCAATCAGCAGTATGTGAACACTCAGTTCTAGATTAATAGAGCCAACAGCTGCAGTGTCGCACTCTGCCTCTAACTATGCAGATGAGTGCAATTCATAGGCATGCACAGGGGGTGTCCCAGGTGTGAGTGGGCACACCCTAATCACCCCGAGCACACTAAGCCAGTGGAGAGATTACTCTTTTTCTGTGACTGCTTAGTGATAAAGAGCTCAGCAGCACTTGCTACTTACACTCCTCATAACAGCCACAGTCCTCGGCTTCCCAGGCTTCTCATCCAATCGGGAAGCCAGGCGGGTGGTCACATGACCACCTGCAAGGCTCCCTGCTTCATTACTGCACCCCTGCTGGAAGAGGTAAGGGATACATGGGAAGAGATGGGAATCCAGGATGCCTCAGGTCTGTGTATGTACTATATATATATATATATATATATATAAACCAGAAATATTCAAAAACAGGCAAAGGAATTTTAAACCAAAATACAGTAATATAATGAAGAGCCTAGATCTACCTTGGGAAAAGAATGATTAATGTACTTCCCCCGTTAAAGGTTCAACTCTAATCAAATCTAGTTTGGGTAAAGAATGAAATATTCTGCAGCTCCTGCTGCTATATTTACCGTTTCAAGGCTGTCCACCTGCATAATCACCCAGTCATTAATCCAATGCTGCTCCTTTTGGGTTGAATGTCACCCAATGTCTTTCAACCCATTTTCTTTGAGTCCAGGGTGTCAAAGCTCTGCCCTCTTCAGTAAGCTTATACTAAAGGTGCACCGAAACAGAAATGTAAAAACCCAAACGTAACCAAAACAGAAAAAATTGTCAGGCCGAAACTGAAACCGATACTGAAAATGTTTTTATTTTTATTTTTTTTTATATTTTATTTTAACTTATTTTTTATAAACTGTTAAAAAATGTTTATATTTATTTGTATTTATTTATTCATTTTTTATTAAATATTTTCATTTTTTACTTTACTTTTAGGGGCTTCAGGGAAATATTAGGGGTCTAAACAGACCCCTGATATTTCCCTTTTAAATAGGAAAAGAGATTGAGAATACAGAGTCCTCAATCTCTTTTTCTGTATCCCCTGTTATCTGAATCCTCTATGAGTGTTCCTGTTCATTAATAACTTGAGACTATAGTATGATTACTGTAACCACAATTATGAATGAACAGGAGTGGATATAGATCACTCCCATTCATTCATAATTGAGGATATATTAACCATACCATGTCCTCAATTATCTACAAACACTCAGCGATCACTGATCACTAAGTGTTTGTAGCCCGCTCTCCTCTCTGATACACACTGTCACAGGAGGCTGTGTGAGCGGTGCGAGAGCCCAGCCTCCTGTGACAGCGCTGTCTCTGCCCCCACACCGACCTGCCGCACTGTGATAGGCGGCCGAGCGGCGTGGGAGGAGAGACACCGGCCGCTCACAGCGCTCTTGTCCCGAGGCGCCGGCTGTCACTTTCTCTCCTCCACGCTGGGACACAGAGCAGCGCCAAGCGGGGAGGAAATAAATCACGGATGCGCCGATGTATCGGCAGGAAAATGGCACTTTCGGCATTTAGCCAAAAGTGCCATTTTAGGCCGATATGTTTCGGCGGCCGATATATCGGTGCATCCCTAGCTTATACCACCTAAAATAATTGTTGTGGTGGAAGAGTACATATGGAGTTACAGTCAGCTTACCGATTTGAACAATTCTGCAAATAAGTCCATTGGAAGTAGGGATTGTATTTTGAAAAAACATGTAACTATGTTTAATGGAGAGGAATTACATTAAAGTCAAAACTTTTTTTCCCTCCCCCCCATGTTAATGTCAGCACTTACCTTAAATGATGTTTCTTAATCCGATCTTCTTCTTTCCTGTCGTTTTGTCGACCCGCAGCAGTGCTGCTGCGGGTCACCAATCCAGCGCTGACTCCTCTGGGCTTGCTGGCACTTCCTGTCCCACGGTGTCTGCATGTGGGTGCACGCCTTCCATAGACTTACCTTGTGTCTCTCCTCGTACCCCGGCCGAAAAACTGAACTGCGCGGGGCAGAGTAGCCGTGGCCGGACCAGGAGACCAGAGCATGTCCGGACCGGGGAAGCCGACGGAACAGCTGAAGAGCAAGCCGGCACATCAGCGGAGGTACGCGGGGCATCGGCGGTATGCAGCGGTTTGTGCCCCCGCTTCCTCCACCAACACAGGGGCGGAGAGCAGCAGGGATTTGAAAGGACACAGGCCGCTGCAGCCAAAGTTCTCCTAAATGTACCGGCGGCTGCCGGTACATTTAGGAGAACTGTGGACCCCGTTCATAAGTACGGATTGTCCGTAAGTCGGACGTCCATAACCCGGGGACTGCCTGTATTAGCAACCTCTAAAATTACGGACAGGTGACTGACAGTTTTGCAAACATTTCTGCTAGATTCATCTATGTGGTTGCCACATTTTATCAGTTAAACTCAAATGAACTGAAGTGGTCAGAGAATGTTTTCTACTAGTGCAGAGCTACGTTTGAGCAGTAGAAGTAGCAAAATGAAGAATTGTAATTGTAAGTCTATCTGATAACATGAATTGCTTTTCTTCAGTGCAGCATACCTATGGGCTCTATTTATTATTCATGTAGCTTATGCCTCCAGCCCGACTGCACATAAATTCATTCTGTACAAGCTAACTAGCTGTTGTGAGAATGGGGAAAAACAAATGTTTAGAGTCATTTCTCTATTGGTCCAATGTTCTTCAGTTGTTATATTCATACTAATATGTACTTGACTGGAGACTCGGCTGAGAAGGGGGCTCCCCGTGCACCTCTCGTTCCACACCTCTAGAACTGGTGACAGGGTATGCAAGGAAAGAATGGGGCACAGGTGCCGGTGCTGGTGGCTGGCCGGTTCTTGAGGAGACGATTGAGTGCATTGGACCAGCTGGTGAATGGGCAGGACTAGGATGACACCAGG